GGGGGCGGTGATGCCACGCACACGGCAGCTGCCCCTCCTAAACTGTGCAAGGCCATCGCCCACCTGGCTTGTCGAGGGAGGAGGTGGGAGTGCGCCCCACGACCTCTGCCGTCGTCTGGGGTGTTGCTTGGGAGGGCTCCCTCTTCACGGTCCCTGGGCCTCCTGCAGAAGGAGGCTCCGATGGCATCAGCCCCGCGCCTGGTACGACGGCCTGCTTTGTGGCCACTGCGACGTCCGACTTGGAAGAGAAAGCGGGCTCTGTAGGGAGGTGCAACACACAGAGGACATACATGTTGAGAACAGGGTCTTTCTCGGCTCCGGAAGACAGTGAGCTTAACACCTGCGCTAGTGAGCCCGCCCCACCCCCACACACCTGCTGGGACGGAGCAAGTACTTACCGTTTCTGGAGTCGTGTGAAAATGCACCTGCAGAGAAGAGACTGTTCCCGCACACCCTCCCCAGCGCACACGCCACGTTCCTTAGGAAAGTCCCTTTGGTGTGTGACACAGTCATCCGCCTGGAACGGCCATGTGCCTTTTGCAAATGCTGGAGTCACGTCACGTCAGTTAAAGGAAGGTCCCAGAGGGCGGAGTAGATCCAGGCTTGTTCACTGGAGAAGACTGATCTCAAAAAAACGAGGAGGACTGTCTCTGCCAGAGACATCTGGGATGCCAATTTTCATTTTTTTTTTTTTAAGTGTTTGCACAAAACTTCTAAATAAGGGGAGCCTGAGATTTGGCCCCTGTGAACTCTAGAAAGTTTAAAAAACGGTCTCAGCATGCTTGGCCATCGGCCACTGTCTCCTGGCCATCGGCCACTGTCTCCGGGCCGCTGTCCCCTGCGCTCCCGGCCATGTGTGCTGTGAGCCGTCCTCCGCCCTTTGATCCCTCGTCACCACCTCACACGCTCCCACACCCCAGGCGCTGTGCGGAGCGTCGCCATCGCCCTGCGCGCATGACACCCGCGGCGGAGGCAGCGACCCTGCAGCTTCGTCTGGCCGAGTGTCTGGCAGGGCTGGGACAGGCCGCCTGATTATTCTCACCAGTCGGGTGAACCCGGTGGGATGCAGGTCACAGGCGGTTTAGAATTACCCCGAACTTAAACACAACCAGCGCCTCAACCTCTTCCTTCTGTTTGTAGCCAACCAGGTAACTAGAAGGAAAACTTTTTTCAGCAGTGGCTCTCAGCTTTGGCTATTGAAGAAGCCCCTGGGAGCTTCTAGAACCCTTCCCCCCAGGCTGCTCCGAGGCGATCCTCAGCGCTCTCGCGAAGGTGTGCCCGGGCGGTGCAGGCGCAGATAGCAGGGCAATGTGCCCGGGGGAGGAGGTGACGCGGGCCGGGAGGAGCCCCTCGCTGGCTGGCGGGACACACGAAAGCCAAGGGCTAAGCGTAAAGTCAGGGTCCCACACGATGCAGGGCACACGGCCCCACGATATGTAGCATCCGAGACTGAATTTTCTTAACATCAGGACAGTGCTGGAGAAACTGGGGTGGATGGTTCCCCGAGACCCAGTGGGGATGTGGGTCGTCGGCAGGCAGCTCTGCGCCTCGCCTCACCTCACGGCCGTCGCGGTCAACCTGCCGAGTTCGAGACTGTCGGGAGGCGGTTCTGCCTGGGTCTCTCGGGTTTCGGAGCGTCATTTCTTCCTCTCTTTTCTTCCTTCCTTCCTTCCTTCCTTCCTTCCTTCCTTCCTTCCTTCCTTCCTTCCTTCCTTCC